TTCAGGTAATTCGGGAAGACTCCGATCATGTGGCAGTGTTTGGTGAAGTTGTGGTCTAGCGGCCTCCTGCTGCTCGCTTCTTGATTTCCCCCACCCATTTATGGTGGGGTACCAGTGCTCTAGAACTCTGTAGAGTCAGACAAGGGACATTGTACAGTTCAAAGGTCAATGCCATTGTCTCGTGGATTGTGTGACAGGGGGCTTCCCAACTTGCTGCAATAGCTTGCTGCTTGCTGTAGTGAAGTGACTGTAATGAACTGTAATGATAGTGATACTGTAATGGCAGCACAGCTCGCATACCGTAGAATCGTAGAGGCCCCTGTTGTCGTTGTCTGAGTTTTCATGTTGCTTTGTGCTTAAACCGCAGTCCTGCTGGTATCTTGCAAAGTGTAGGTGTAGACCAAGGGCAGCTTCGGGACAATAGGCTATCAAGTGTAAGAGTCTTGTGTTCCTGTTCCTGTTTTTGTGAGTGAAAACCACAAGACACTGAGCTCACGTGCCCGAGCAGGGATGCTGTGCAATCCACGTGCAATGCTTCGGAGAAGTGACGGGCTTTGCAATATTTCATGTTCGCAAAGCTCCTGATGAGTTTTTTGAGTTTCTAGATCACACTAGCTGCTCACTAGCTGCACTCGCAGCTGCTAGCAGTAGCAGCAGTAGATACAATGACAATGCTAGGCTGCTAGGACCGCGCAGATGCTCACGGACTTGTGTGTCCACTCGAGACCTCAGCAGCCGGCCGAAGCAGTAACACAAAACATCATTAGCAGGTTGGTTTCTCTTTCTGTTCAAAGAACTTATGCAAACTTTGACCACAAAGGCCGGATGTGCACGGCATGGGACCTGGGCAGTTGTTGCGGTTGCGGTTGAGAGCTACAGGGTGGTTAGGTCCGAGAGGAAGCCGTTGTGTGGTGTAGTACATTTGACTTAATCTTCAAGGCTATCTAACCCCAAGTTTGAACTTGAACTGCTAGGGCTGCTAGGGCCAGGGCCAAAGTATATTGGTAATTAGCGAGCTGA